TTTTTTTTTTTTTCCAATGGTACTGGAGATTGAAAGCCAGGTTCTTTGCACGGAGCTACATTCCAGTTCTTTAAAAAAATTTTTTTTCTTATGAGACAGTGTCTTGAGTAGGCTTGAACTCTGATCCCCCTGCTTCAGCGTCTTCAAGTTTCTAATTAAGGGTGGAACTGCATACCTGTGGAGGAGATGTTGGTGCTGAAATGTTCTACCAAATTGCTGGCACTGGAGAAAATATTGAAGCGTCACTTTCCCGAATCACTCAAGGTACTATAAACGTGAGAATTTAATTTCTTTATTGTTTTAATCTGCAAAATAATGTCAGATTTGTAACTTTCTTATTTTCTTCCAATAATAAGACTCTAGGAGCATTTTTTTAAACATAATTTCCCAGTTCTCTCCTCCTAGAGACTGAGTTAATGGATTGTGGCTAAAATTCATGATTATTCTTGATGGTTCCTAGGGAATTTTACATAATCTTGAGCTATATTACTTTTAGTAAATTTAAATTGTAAAATGTTTTAAATAGCAAAAGGGGGGCAACCCACTTTCCAGTCCCCCTTCTGTATCTCTTTGACAAAAGCTATCTTTCCCTCAGTAAATTTTTCCTATTCTTAAAAAAAAAAATAGCAAAAAGGTATGTATTGGGTGGCATTAATGTTAGGAAAATAACCAAGGGCAGACAATAGGACTCAAGTTTAAGGGTTGTTATAAATATTTTTAGTGATTTTGTTGGCCAGCAAGGCTCTGATCTAACATCCAGCAGGGCCTATGATAACTCAGTGTTATTGTGGAAGATATCGTTCATCAAAGCCTATGGTATAGTACATTTAAGGCTGCCAGAGCGAAGTTGACTTTGAGCGACAGGTTTCTTGTCTTGTAGACAGATATGTACAACTGTCTTTCATATGTGCAGGAGAGAATGAATCAAGTTTTGAGGTTAGAGACCAAAGTCCAGAATTTTTAACACCCCAGATAATCCTTGTGTATATGAATATTTGAGCAAAAATAATCCAAATGGAGTTGTCTAGTGCATTGTACTGTGTTGATTAAATCTGGTCATCATATTGATCATGCATAACTGTAGAAGGAAGAATATAATACTTTGGGATTGTGTGGTTATAAAAGTACTATGTGGACAGTCTGGTCCAAATTTCCCCATTTTGAATGCTGTGGTGAATTAATGGGATAAAATATTAGGCTTCTTTGCTTTAATAATGTCTAACTCTTCTGTAAGAGATAACTTAAAAATATTTCCATGCCCTTCACAAAATCATAAAGTATGTTAGGGATTTAAAAAGTTAAAGAAAATATACTTTTGCTTGTTTGCCCTTCCTTCATTCTTTGGAGCTTATGAGTATGTAATTTATGTGCTTAGTTCAGTATTTAAGTGATTCTTCTTCCAAATTTCCTTTATAAGCCCTAACTGCTAATTTGTTCATCAACTGTACCTCCATGTAGCCACCTCCTGCCGTGCAAGAAACAGCTGTTGGGAGAGTGTGTGCTATTTAGCAAGGCCAAATCTTTTAGCTGTTCAAAGTCTTACACAAACAAGTTACTTCTCTTTTAGAACCTAAATACTGAAAGGCTTTTTTCCACTTAACCTTTGGAACATTACAGTCCTATTTAGGCTACATCCTTGAATAGAGATCCACAGGCTCCTGTTGTGAAACCATTTTGATAAACCTCACTCTGGCTATGTAAGATGAGAAGCCACAGAGTTTAATGAAAATGCCGCACAACAAGCATGACCCTTCCAGGTTGCTTTTACTTTAGGATCTGTACTAAGTATGATCCATGTTACATATTACCATAAACCAATTTGCAAAGACACATTCTATGAGAATATTTGAATGAAGTCCCAGATTGGGTAAAACAGAAGCAAAAATTGTTTTAGACTGAGCAAAGGTGAGTGATTTGGGTTAAGATCGTGATTAAGGAGGTAAAATGCAGGTTCTCTGCCCTTATAATGGACTATTGAAGTCTAGCACATCCTATAAAGCGCACACAGTATAGCTCGTGAATTTTCACACAGCAAAAGATCCTGTAATATCCACGGTGTAAGAGAAAGCACTACTTTGGGTGCAGCTTCTTCCAGTGCTCCTTTCCAATCACTTCTTGTCCCCACTCCTCAGTCACTTCCTATCCCCCCTTATAAAGCCATAACTTAGTTTTGGCTGTTTTTTAATGTAATATAGATTGAATCACACAGTGTATTTTTTTTGTATCTGGCTTATTTTGTTCAGCTTCTTGTGTGCAATTTATGGTGATTCCATGCATAGTTGTAGTCTACTTATTTCATAACCTGTTTTGTAACCTATGGTATGAATATGACAAAATTTATTTACTCATTTCATTTTTGATGAACACTGAGGTTGTTTTGCCCTGAAAAGGTATGTTACTCAGTAGTAGTTGCATTTTACAAGTTATTTTCAGAGAATATAGTGAACTTCAAAAGCAGCTTAGCACCAAGATTCCACCAAGATTGTGGAACTTTTAAGATATGGGTGAGCTCTAAATACTTGAGTTTCTGATTCAAATATTTATTGCTAACCTGTGCATCAAGCATTCACCTAGAAAGTCTATCAGTTTAGTATCCATCAATATTGTGCTGTAAAAACTAGATGTAGGGAGAGAGTTTCATTAGGCTTTAATAGTCTTTTACCAGTTTTCATAAGTGCTGATAAAATAACAGTAAAAAGTATATATGTATGTGCATTATGTATATGTGTGTGTATGAATACATTTATAATCACTTTCCTGGGTGTGGTTAATTGAAGAGGATAATATACAACTGCAACGTCTAGCAGTATGATTGGCTGCTCTCTTTGGGTTCCCTGTGCAGGTTTATGGAGCAGTGATGAACATAAACCGTGGGAATCCCTTTCAAAAGGAAGTAGTATTGGATTCATGGCCAGACTTCAAAGCAATCATCACCCGGCGACAGAGAGAGGTACACTTTTGGAAGGCAAATAAATAAGAATTGGTATTAACTAGAAAGAACAGATTAGGTAAAGTGAATACGATAGCCATGATAATCATATAAGCTACATATTTCACCATAAGTTTCTACTGTAACTGGCTTCAGAGTGTCAGGCATAGAAAAGACCTCTAGTCCAAAAGTGTTTCTTTAGTGCTCCCTAATCTCTAGAACCATGAAGCACACTTGGCTGGTTTGAACATCCTAGCTTTTCCGCTGAGTGGATGATTCATTGTGACGGATGATTTCATTCAGATAAATAAGGAAGAAGACTGAGGAAAACACTTAGTCCCATTCTGTCTCTGAGACCAAAAAGAAGCTCATCACCAGAGATATGGTGCCTTCCTAATGCATTCCATGAGGAAGATTCTAAGAGCTTTGATTCTTAGAGGACGATTCATTTAGTTTTACTTTCCGTCCATCTGTCCATCCATCTAAATGTTTCTGTGTATGTTTGGAGCTGGATATTTAACCCAGGACCTTGTGCATGCTAGGCAAGCATTCTGCCACTGAGCCACATTGCTTTTTTGTTTTTATTTTTGAGATGGGGGTGTCACTGTGTTGAGACCCAAGATGATCTCAGATTCTTGGGCTTAAGGAGTGCTCATGCTTCAGCTTCCCAAGAGCTGGGACTACTGGTGTGTGAATCACACCCAGCCTTTTTGTATTTTTATACATATATAAATAAATAAGAATGTGAAATAAATGTTTTAAAACCTTCCTAATGTGAAAGGAGAAAAAATCAAAGAAAAGTCACAAATATTTTACTCCTCTCTACAGCCCATTAGATTCATTCTCACTTCATTGTTTATCAGTGACTAATTTTGGTAATGGAAAACGAGCTGAACATGCCCAGTTGATGATACTTAATCTCTCCAGGATTCGCGTTATCTGGAGGATATGTTTCAGTGACTGTGCCTTCTGTTCTAGGCGGAGGCAGATAACCTCGATCATTATACTAATGCCTGTGCTGTGTTCTACAAGGACGTCAGGGCATATCAACAGCTCTTGGAAGAACGTGATGTTGTTAACTGGGACCAAGTTTTTCAAGTACAAGGTGAGGTTAAGTGTGAGACATACACTATGGAGTCATTTTTTCTTCTTTTGTTGTACATATCTGAGATAGGAACTTCACATATATATATATGAGATATACACATGTGCACAAACATATAAATATATTTACATTTTCTGTTTACCATTTTTTATTTTAATGTTGCACAAACAACTTTGATTAGTAGTGCTTATTTTTTCTCACAGAAAATCTTTTGAGTTACTTGGATATAAATCAGTTTTATAAAATGGAGTGCTGGTCATAGCATCTGTAATTTTAGAAGCATTAACTTTGTTGACTTTTCTGAGACTTAAGATCCTGAGAGAAGAGAGAAGACTCAGATACCACATTCGTTCAATATGCCTCCCCATGTATTTTTTTTTTTTTCAAGAGAAAATTTCAGGGCCACGTCAGGAAGTGGCTCACGTGAGGAAAGAAAACAAGTCATTAAATATGGAAGAGGGAAAGACAATTTCCGGAAGATTCATTCAAAAAGGAATCAGATTATGGGCCGGGGATTTAACTCAGTGGTTCCACCGCCTGCGTCTGCCTCACAAGGGCCCGGACCCAAGTGCATCCCCAGTACCGACCCCCACCCAAGTGGACTCAGATTGGAAAGAATAAAGAAGATGGGGATTTGGAAACAGGAGTGATGCTATCAGCTCTCCCGAGGGCTCTACCACTAACCATTGTTTTGGCACTCGTCCCCCTTTTTCTGAGACAGGGTCTCACTAAATTTCTCAGGCTGACCTCACACTTGGCATCTTCCTGCCTGCACCTCCCAAGCAGCTGAAATGAGGTGCGCACCACCATACCAAGCAAGACCGTACCATTTTTTTTTTTTTTTTACCACTATGAAGCAGTGCCCGGAACAGTGCTTTATGTACAACAAATACTGAATAAAGATTTATAAATGATGCGTTATAGCTGTGATACGTGGGATCTTGGTGAGGTTAGATCAGTGTAAATTCACAGTCTTAGTTACTTTTCTCATTGCTGAAACAAAATACCTGACACCCACAAGTTAAAGAATGAAGGTTTATTTCAGCTCCCAATTTGTAGAAGTTTCAGTCCTCAGTCAGCTGGCTCCAAGGTAGGATGGCTTGGCAGAGGGGCATCGCAGTGAAGAAACGGTCCACAAGGCAGGCAGGAAGCAGCAGAAGCAAGCCTGCATTTTCCTTTTATCCCAGACAAGCTACAAGCCTTAGTTTTCAATAAATCCATTCAGCTGCATGCAGAACTATGCTAATTTCAACCAGTAGACTGATTTAGCACCACACACCCTTAATCCCAGCGTCACACACCCTAGATCCAGCGAGTTCCCAAACTCCCCACCTATGAGGACATGAGGTTTTTGGTGGACATCTAGATACAAGCCATAACACTCAAATTTATATCTGGAATACTGTAATAAGCGTTTTGGTAACAGGCTGGAAGAGAAGCTTTCAAGTTGGCTTGCCACAACCCACAGATCAAACTCTCACACAGAAGTGATCGTAGCATAGACTTTGAAAGCTATAGAATACTGTTGCTTTAAGGTCATTCTGAGAATGAAAAAAAAAATTTGTTTTAATTCCTATAAGAAATTTCTATTTCTCATAGAATATTTCCAATAGAAATTGCCATGAAAGATCATGACAGGTGACGCCGAGTGTGGTGGCACACGCCTGTAATCCCAAGTGCCCAAGAGGCTGAGCAGGACGATCTCTGTGAGTTTGAAGCTAGCCTGAACTATATAGTGAGACCCCATCTCAAAAAACCAAAAAATAAAAACAAAAAGATCATGACAGATGGTCACAATGGACAAGACAGTGGGAACTGATTGAAAAAAAAATCTACAAAAATTTTAAAGTCACAAAAAAATAACTAATAATTCATATATAAATACAAGTGGTTAGGATAAGACAAGACAGCAAGCTGGTGATACTGATGATACTTGGTATGAAAATAGTGTGACTACTTTCATTCTTGCTTCCAATAAAATGCTCATCTTTTTGTCTTTCTTTACTCAGGGTTGCAGAGTGAGTTATATGAAGTTTCCAAAGCTGTTGCCATTTCAAAGCAGTTGGATGTAAAGCTAGCTTCCTTCAAGGCTGTTCGGTTTTCTCCTGTTTCGTCTTTGCCGGACACCAGTTTTCTGTATGTAAACCATGCTGCGCATTGGGGGCGGGGGCAGTAACTGGAATGCATCTCACTGAGGAATATTTTTGCAGTTTGGATTTGAGCTGTTGACTCTAAACTGTGTGTGTGTTTACTCTTCCTCTCCTCTATACCTCACCGCTCACAATTTCCCTGAAAAGTAAGTCAGTGTCTTTTTTCATAGTTATAAATGAGTTTAGAATACCTGTGTTTTCATGGTATATGTACAAAAATCATTCATTGGAGTATTTTTACCCAAAATAATTCTAAGTAATCTCTATAGTCTGAGTCCAAAGTTCTTATTTTTGTTGTTGTTGTTGTTGTTCTTTAAGGTAAGGGAAATATTTTTGACATATGTGGTAGACACTAAATGTTTTAAAATATTACCCCCTTAATCCTTTCCATATTCTTATAAAGTAGGACTATTATTCCAGTTTTTAAGAGAGTTGAAGTAACACAGAAGAGTAATTATTAGACCCAGGAAATAACGTGAAGTCCAAGTCCAGAACTCAATTCTTGAAAGCATGTTGTTAATGGTATCTGCACCCATTCTTTTCTCTTACTCTGGAGTTCCTGCTCTGTCATTTACTCTGTGTGTTCCCCTCAGCATAACCTGTCTGAGCAATCCTTTCTTCTCAAGAATGACAATATATCTTTGTCTCAGTTACTTTCTCATCACCGAGACACAATATCTGACACCTACAACTCTAAGGAGGAAAGGTTTGTTTTGGCTCGCAGTTTAATAGAGATTTCAGTTCATAGTCTTGGCTCCAAGGCAGGGCAGCAAGGCAGAGGAGAAACAGCTCATGGCACAGTGGTGGGAAACAGAGTAATCAAGGGAGTAGGGGAGGAGATAGACCCTTCCAGGCCACGGCCACAGCCCCAGTGACCCACCTCTTCCAGCCAGGCTTTACCTCCCAACATCGTTTAGCTATAAACTCCTCAGTGGACTAATCCACTAATAGTGTCATCCCCATGATCCATTCACTTCCAAAAGCCCCACCTGTGAGTGCGTGAGGCTTGTGAGGAAGTCTAGATATAAACTATAACAATTTTCATCGCATATTACTTTGTTAGAAAATGAAACAATACACTTGAAAAGCACCCACCTCAGTGAATGTTAGTTTTCTCCACTTTTTCTTTCTTTTTTTTTTTTTTGGTGTGGGGATCAAACTTAGGACCTTGTGCTTGTGAAGCAGGTGTGGTGCTACTACTAAGCTAAATCCCTGGACCAGTTTTCTTCACTTTTATGAAGGAATTGTTTAACTGACAGTGTGAAATAGGAAGAAAAGGGCTAAAGGTGTAGGGAGAGTGGAAAGGGTAGGGGAAATGTAATAAGGGAAAAAAATATATGAGAAAATGAAAAAATGGAAATAAAGTGTTTGTAAAAGGGGAGGGGAAGAGGGGGTGAAGGGAGGGCAGGGGCAAGGGGAAAAAATGAGAACCAAGACCTGTCATGTAGAGCTACAAGATCCCAATGATGAATGTAACTGTACTTACTGTATACCTAAAATGTACCAATAAACTCAATGAGAGAAAAAAAAATTGTTGAGCCAAAAACAAAAAACAAAACTAAATCTAATGAACAGTCACTTTAAGTCATGAGAAAGCAACTAAGCAACTGGACTTTTTTTTTTTTTTTTCAGTACTGGGGAACCCAGGGCCTTCACACTGAGCTAAACACTACAGTGTGAGAACCCGTTTGCCACACTGTGCTCATTTCTATCTTCTTGAAAGAAACACCTACTTACACTAGAAGAGGCTCAAAGATCTCTGTCCAGCAATGTGACAGCAAGTTTTTCTGGTACTGGGGATCGAACTCAGGACTTTGCACTTGTCAGGCAGGTGCAGTGCCACTGAGCTACTGGGGATTTAGCTACTGAGGGCTGGGGATTTAGCTTAGTGGTTCTGCTGCCTGCCTCTCAAGCAGAAGGTCCCGAGTTTGATCCCTGGTCAAAAAAATTAAACTGAAAATCCTATTAAGCCAGTTCGTTTTTAAATTTTCAGCCCAATGACAGCAAGTTTTTATAGGCCAGATGCAGGAGCACAGCAGAGAGATCACCTGACTGGCTACAGTAGGACAGCTACCTTATTTGAGCATAATTCCCGCCTATGGGCTGATTATAACTGGCTGAAACTCAGCTGTCTATTATCCTTCTAAATATGTAAACAAATCTAAAGCTAAACTAGGTTACAGTTTGTGTCCTAGATATTGAAGGCATGAGACAGCCTCAGGCCAAATTTTAGTTGATTTAATAAGAAACATTTTCTTCAATCTGTATTGAAGATGAAAATAGGTATAAAAGTAGAAGACTTAAATCTGATATAACAAGTATTTAGTCTTCTCAGGAACGAAAGCGTGAGGTTGCTTGTGAGTGGAAACGGTGGGTTCTAACTCGATGAAAATGTTAGGCGTGGTCTCGGATATTTTTCTCACTTTGAGTCTGTATGAAAAGTGTAGTTATTGATAACCACGTGACTCTGAGCTCATGCTTTTTCTCATGTCGTTTTCTTCTAGAATGAGTTCTCCCCCACGCCTAACCCAGCTGAGTGTTGCTGATGCTGACCTACTGAACCGGACTTGGTCAAGAGGTGGCAGTGAGCAGTGTCTCCGGTACATTGCCAGCCTCATCTCTTGCTTCCCCAGTGTGTGTGTCCGTGATGACAAGGGAGACCCAGTATCCTGGGCTATCACAGACCAGTTTGCCACCATGTGCCACGGCTACACCCTACCCGATCATCGCAGGAAAGGTTATAGCCGGCTGGTGGCCCTCACACTGGCCAGGAAGTTGCAAAGCCGGGGATTCCCCTCTCAGGGAAATGTCCTGGATGACAATGTGGCATCTATCAGCCTCCTGAAGAGTGTCCATGCTGAGTTCTTGTCTTGTCGTTTTCATAGGCTTATTCTGACCCCAAAGCCTTTCTCTGGGAAAGCTCGTCCTTAGCCCAGTAAAACTCGAGGAATTTTCTTACTTTCCCTAAACATACATACTCTTGGCTGCCAAGGAAGGGAGAATTAAACCTGGAATCGGGAGATTCTTGAGTTGTTGAAAAGGGCCTGGAGAAGACATGCAGCACTATCCTGAGAAACAGTAACTATTCCTGTCTTGGGTTTCTACCATAAATAACTGCAGGGGTTAGGGAATCTGTGGCTGAGGACAGAGGATGTTTGTCCTCTTTTAGGATGCACTGTAGGGAAGAAGTTTCTTAAGCCAACAATTCTTAGCATAGTGGCAAAAATGATCGCATGAGAATAAGTTATTTAACACAGCAGTTACTGCTTTACTGTTTGGGTTTCTGCTTTGTATTTTCACAGCCATTCCAGTGCTCTTACTGCCATAGAATTCCTCTCTTCCTTGCTATGTCACCAGCCTCTATTCCTACCACCTCAGACCTAAGTTCTCTGTAGAGTATCCTGCCTTTTCTCCTTAATTTCTTTCTTCACTTCTGTTTCAGATCCCAGCCTATTGTGCCCTGAGAATGTTCAAATGCTGCAGGTGCTCACACTGTAATGTTTCTCAGAATCCCTTGGAAGGCGGTGGCAACAGATGGCTGGCCCCTCCTCCACGGTTCCTGCTTCAGTTAAGTGTAGGGTAGAGCCTGAGAATTTGCATTTCCAACAGGTTTCCTCTTCTGTGTTGCCTAGGATGGATGAAGATACAGACATCCTAATGCTATAAATAGATGTCTTATAAGTAGAACTAACCCACAGCCATTTCCAGGCACCTGGTTTATAATCTGCTTTTTCATAAGAAACTAAGATTCATATATAGATATATATGCAAAGATGCAAATATGATATAAGCAAATACACACATTACAAATATGTTTTATCTATATGCATATGTATATGCTCCTGGAATTTTGATAATGAACTTTATTCCTCTTATTATGTAGAAAGAATTTGGGGCCCAAGTAAAATAAATGGCTTTTTCAAGATTATATAATTGGTGTTGGAGGCAAAGCCAGAACTCTGTGATCTTTATTTTAACTTGTACTTTTTATTAAGTCATGTATCCTCTTTATAAAAAAAACATAATGCCTAAATAATTAAATTAGTATTTTCTATCCTTGTCATGGTTGGTTTTTAATTTGGATTCCAATTTCTTGTATGTATATTTTTCAAGGATAGTAAAGGAGATAAACACAAGCTATGTCCTCCATTTATTTAAGAGCAGACATAAACACAATGGTTGATTTGTCTATATTATATTTCATTTAGTCATATAGAATATTGCTTTCTTCTATGTTAGTCAAAGTCCTGACTCCAAAGATAAGAGAAAGTTCAGATTTCTGCTATTTATTCTGAGGCAAGAAAACAAATTGGCTGACTTGGATCACAGTTTAATGAAGATATACTTAGGTCATCTTGACCAGTGATTACCTGGAAGCATCCTTGGAGCCAGAGGGAAACACAACATGTGACAGGAGTCAATCCTCTCGGGAAAACATGGCCCAGTTTCTGCCCCCAGGGTACTCATTATCTTTAGCACTGATTGAGCTTTGTTACTCCTGCCCCATACAGGGCAATACTGTTAAAGCTTTATTTTTTTCCTAACAGTAGTTTGCCTGCTACTCATTTGGCATTTGACTGTGTCCAAAAAATTGTGTCAAACACTGGATGTAGGTGCACCCAACTTAATCCTTGTGACATATGAGGTGTAATTTTATGTGAGCAATCTGTTGTGATTCACCAGACATTATTGCCAGACTCCTGCAGTAAGTCTCCAGTCCCCACCTGCCCAGTCTGTGACACAGGCCCGGAAAAAAAAAAAATACACTAAGAGACAGAACTAGGAAAGAGAAAGCTGGAGCCGGGAAAACCGATGCCCGTGTAACCAACAAAGGTACTGCACAGTCCCAGGCACTGACTTTTATTGGCAATCAATTGGAGTAAAGGCGACGTGGTTTCTACAGAAATTAATGTAAACAAGGCTCATAAAGGACAAAACAAAACATTCTCAAATTAGGAACAGAATAGACAAAATAAATGATTGTACTTAGAACATTGTCCTTCTCGTCAGAAGGTTTTAGTTGTGGAAATGGAATCTGGGTTTGAGTTAACTCTTTCCCAGGGTTTTAATTTAACTATTGTAGATCTGTCTTCTGTCCTTTACCTTAGAAAACCCTAAAGAATGGAAAAGATAAATCTAAGGAAAAAAGAAATATAAGCAAGATAGGTTTCAAAAGACCACATTTTAGTAAGAAATTATTTTGAAGGTGTTGTTACATATATCACAATGAAAGAAAGTTCTCCATAAAAAAGATGAAATCACTCAAATTCAATTAAAAGGGGAAAAGGTCATAGACTATATACATTATCATACAGAAATAAAATTATTATTTCAAGTGGCATTTCAAAAAAATATTCTGACTATATCCCCTAATAAAAGATTGTAAGAACAATATTCACTAAAACAAAAAACCTGGGAGATTTTTTACTTTACTTAGTATGATCGTTTCTGTTAGTGTTAATGTAATAAATTTCCATTTATTTTGTTCATTATGTGCAAAAAAAAAAAGCAAAGGAATAAAAATGTTTTGAAAGGTTAGGAGAGATATAAACCTGGAACAGGGGAAGGTGACAGCCATCTGATGTTGGATTCGAACTGAAAGTGTCTGAATGAAGTCAAGTGTGTACAGCTGTGCCTCCTGAAAGGGCCCAGGTACATCCATGAAGTAGGCGTATGATTATGATTATGATTATGAGCCCAGTTGTGGTCTTCAGTTATGTTTTCTAAATGTCTTATCTCACTAAGTGGATTCTGGAATTCTTCGGAAAATATTTATTTCTGTGAACAGACATTAAAATGTTCACAGAAAACATCTTTTGCACCACACTAGAAAGGAGTGACACATGCACGCTAAAAGGATGAAATCCAGAATCTAGCTCAAAGGGCTCCAAGTACACAAGATTTGAAAGATTTCAATGGCAAAATAATGATGACTGTAATGGAAAAAACTGATAGTCCTTAGCAATAATAGAGTATTGAAATGGAAACATGTTTACAGATATATTCCAGAAAATAAATGTAGAAAAAATTAAAATATCAAATCATGATTTGCAAACATCCAGTCTAATACTTCATTCAGTCAAGGCTCTTCAAAAATTGTTAAAATCATTGGTAAAAATCTTATTTGAAAACGAAGTCTGTACTTAGTTATAAAATATCACTCCCCACATTATTACTCATTAATAGCAAAAAGAAAGAGCGAAGATAAAATATGGTGATCACCACTTTAAGCCAATAATCAAAAATAGCATTTCAATGCTGAGACAACTGATGTTAACTCTCTTTTGTATATAATGTAATAGGAAGTACACATCACCAACACAAAGTCCTTGCCAAAAAATGTAACCTGAATTTAGTCATTGGAAACAACTGGACAAATTCAGATTGTGGTTCATTATTCAAGAAAGATAAAATAGTGATCACCACTTTAAGCCAATAATCAAAAATAGCATTTCAATGCTGAGACAACTGATGTTAACTCTCTTTTGTATATAATGTAATAGGAAGTACACATCACCAACACAAAGTCCTTGCCAAAAAATGTATAACCT